ATTTTCTTTTTACATTTAACATTTAAAATTTTCATATCCCATTAAAAAAAAAAAAAAACAAGTATTTTAACTTTTAAAATATGAAATGCGCCTTTACATGTATAGATAAGAGGACATATATGCAAAAATTAAATATTACATATATAAATACATAAAAATTAAGTGGCTTGTATGTAATTCTCCATTATTTTTAAAACTATGAGAAGGTGGCAAAATCTTGTATGACAATTAAGTATGAAGCTGTCAATGATGCATTATGTTAATAAATTTAAGTAGAATTTAATTTAAATTTAATCAGACCCAAAAAAAATATAATTGCAAATAAAGAATTTAGTATAAAATCCCGAATTTAATTAAAATCTTTTTGTGAGCATAATATTTTTTATATGATATTAAAAATTTGAGTATTATGCATGTAAATATGAATGTTTAGGTTTTAAATATATAAATACATATAAAAAAGAAAGATGTTAGATATGTAAATACATAGAAATTATGTGATATATATATGTAAATGCTCCTAAAATTGAACCATGAATACTGTACAGTTGTAAGCTATGAGTCAATTTATAACCATTGTAATTAAGCAAGCAACAAAATTGCACAACCAAATGCTGGAACAATGATAAACAAAATGACAAATTCGGTAAATATAACAAAATAAATCTGCAAACTGCAAAAAAAACAAAAAAAACTGCAAAAAAAATAAAAAAAGGGGTTTTTTTGCAGAATCTTACGCGGTGACAAAAAAAGGGGTTTTTTTGCAGAATCTTACGCGGTGGTTTCCTGTCCTCCTCCCTGAGTTCCAGTACTGACGAAGAACCCTGCAGGCTTCCCAGCCAGCCTCTGCTCCTTCCACAACTCCCCCGTACTATCAAAGAAAGCCTTCATCTGCGCAGCCATGCTCCCAAATCTCGTCGGAAACCCAAACAGAATCCCATCCGCCTCCGCGAGCTCCCCGGCGGTTATCACCGGAATATCCCCTTCTTTCAGCGGCACCTTCAACATTCCCAACACCTCCTCAGAAAGCGTCTCGGGAACACGATAAAGCAATCCCTCCGTGCCCTCCGTCTCGTCCACCCCCTTCTTCATCCTCCTCGCCAGGCTCTCCACGTGCCCGTACATGGAGTAGAACACTATAAAGATCTTCAATTTGATTTCTGCGGGAGGAGGAGGAGTGTTATTGAGTGCATTGAAATCAACACTGCGCTCTTCGGTGGCAACCGGCGCGACAAATTTGACGGCAGTTGAGGAGGACTCCGTGGCTCCCGCCGGCGGGCGGTGCTTGCTGGGCATACACCCTGCTCCTTTCCCCATGTTTTAGGGAATCTGAAAGACGACTTTTTTAGTCTGCAGAAGAAGGGAAAAGGATCAATTTTGATTGTAGATCTTGAAAAAAGAGCTCCTTTTGTTCAACGAGATGCTCTTGCGCGACTTGCGCAATCACATCGGTTTCAGGGGAGCATTGCGAGAGAGAGCCCAGCGTTCTCACCGCAAAGCTTGTCTGTGGAGATTTAGGAAGTCTCTGTATTTATTATTACCGAAAGTTCAGATAAAAATTTAAAAAATTATTTATAAAATTGTGATAATGATTTTTAATGCTGGCTATCACAGCGGTAATCGATCTTAGACTAAAATAAAAATTAAAATGAAAAATGGCATTCTATTGTTACATGATCTCATCGAGATTTGAACGAGTATTGCGTGCATTGGCGTATATGTGGATTGTGGTATCCGAGTGATATTGGGTTGGTATTGTACTTCAATACCAACACCACCTAAATGCCACGCTAATACTATCGATTCACATCTAATATATCTCTACAACACATAATGTAGAAGTTGTCATATGCTTCTACCAAAAAACACTCCCAAACAATTTTCTCATCAATAATGGGTGGGTTTTTATGTTAGTATTAACCATTAGCCACGTGTTTTTAATTTCCACGTGGCATTTGGAGGATGCTGAGTGGTAAAATTAAATGTGCAGAAAAGGTATTAAATGCTTTGTTGAATAAGAGAATGATAGTAATTAAACTGTGTAGCTGGCTCGGATTGCAGTTTCTGCTTTTGTTGAAGCTTGACTAAAATTGTGGGCTCAACTGAGAACAAATGGATTACTTGCATCGGTTGTTCTGCTCAGAACAGGGAAGAGCTAATAATAGCCGCAAGCAAGACGCTACGTGTGCGGCGGCCTCAAGGGAACGTCTTACGGGCGGGGCCTACTGCTGCTTTAGCTGTAAAGCACGGTTTTTTTTATGGTATTATATTTTAAAAAATAATAATAAATTGAATATATGTTCTGACCAGAGTTTACCTCCGAGTCCCCCATCAGATTTTTCATTCACAAGAAAAAAAAAAGAGAGTCCAGCTTCTGACGAGAAGCATTGGACAGATTCAGCTGGTATGCAATTATAAGAATCCAACAATTTTTCTTCATCCGGTAGGAGTTTAAGGTAAAGTGCGGATCTCGAAGTAAACTTTTGAGCAAGAAATATTCAAACTCGATAAAAAAGTCATCCAGAGCTTCGATTCAGACAAACTTACAGTCAAACTGACTGACTCGACAAGACTAACTCAATAGTATCAACATTGATTCAATCTTTATTTATTTGGTTTTAAATGACTATTCCCCTCATTTGGAGACACAGAAAGAATAAAATAATTTTAATATAATACAATGTATGCCAATAAAATATTGTTGAAAGATCACATTGATGTGAGTGCAAGCGGCTCATAGGCAGATTTAGACATATGTCATCTTGTTGTTAGTATTTATCACCCTAAAGTAGAGTTTGAAGGTCGGTGCCTGATAGAAGAGCTTAGTAGGTGAACTCGACAGTTGGTACTAAAAAGTTGGTATCTAGTATACCAATCCAGCAGGTTAAACCAATGATTAGCACTCGACATATCTACCCAACAAATACAATGAGTACTCAACACTTGGTCTATTGAGTGATATTTATGAATAAAAGGGTGTTTAAGACCCATTAGGGTTGCTAATGTATTTTAGAGCCCACGAAGGCTATTTATAGTGTTCATACTTACTAAACAACATCCTATAAATTTAAAGTTTTAATAATTTATGATGCATTTATTTACACATATTTAATCATATTAAATTTGAAATTAACTTTTTTGTGTGCGGAAGAATTGTGGCAGTAGAGTAGAATTTTAATGTCTTAGTGTTGTGTGAATATCCAACACACATAAATAGTAGAAAAGTAGAAGGTGGAGACACCCGAATTTTTTTATGTGAGAAAATATTGTAAAGGAAAAACCATAGGGCTTATACATTGATTTTAAGTACATAGATATACTCTTTTCTTGAATTAGATAACTTGAAATTATAATGCTGGCAATTACAAATGCACAGTAATATTTCATTATTAATAGTCATAATTGAGTTATAACATATGTAATTCTTGGCTATAATAGCAATAATTGGCCAAAAAGGTCGAAGTTGGAAACCTTAATAGTATTAGTTAGCTACAAAGTCCATAATAAATGGTTATAATAACATCATTTGGCCACATAGGCCGTAGTTGGAACCTTTATTATTACATGGCCACATGGACCTTAGTTGGGGGATGCAATATTGTCAGTTGGTCACAAATATTGTAGTGGAAAGTGATAATGATAGTTAACCATAAAGGTCATAGTTAGGGGGTGCAATAGCGTCAGCGGTCACCAAGGTCGTAGTTGAAATTAGTAGTAATAGTTGATCATATATGTCGTCGTAGAGGGTTGCAATAATGTCAGTTGACCATAAATATTATAGTTGGAACCTGCAGTAATTGTTAACCATATAGGCTGTAGTTTTTTTTTTTTAAAACGTGCATTTTGCATTAATCAAGAAATACAAAAAATAATAGAAACTAAATGAAAGAAAAAGTGTGATGGACATGTTTCGCCACCAAACTTAAAAAACCAGGATCACAATTGTGACCCTCCCAAAGAAAGGATCAATCCAAGGCAAGCCTAGAACAAAAATTAGCAGCTTTTTAACAATTTTTATGAAAAAAAAAGAAAATGACTTGTTCAAAATCCAAAAGAAAAGCTATCTCAGGTTCCACATCAAGTTGATGCTGCCAAACTTTCATCTTCATGCTCTCCCGAAAGGAGGTAATAAAATTGGCATTATCTCCCTCAACGATGACCCCTTTGATCTCACGCATCTAAGGCTGAAGTAGATCGCCAAAAATGAGCACCGTATCTTTTTCCCAACCCCAATGATAACTTTACTCACTTCATCTTTGATAATCATTCCCACACTAGCTTGGCTATTGGCAAGATATGCACCATCCACATTAAGTTTTAACCAACTCGGAGAGGGGGGGGGGGGGGGGGGGGTCCAATAAAATTTTTGTACCAATGAACAGTAGAAGTCAACTCTAAGGACCGAGAGGTACCTCGTAGACATTTGCAAAGTAGGAAATCAACTTAAACTAGCTATGGCTTCTTCAAAAGTATTAAATTTAGGAATATAAAATCCCTAACAAGATAAGAAGTAAGCATTTTATTGCAATACTTTACACTTGGCAGAAATATGTGAATAATTTTCTATTTTGTTGCATCCCCATGGACAACATATATCCTCCGATATGTGTCTATGGTATAGCCAGTCATTGGAAATGATTACATTGTATTAAATTCTCCACCAGAAAAAAGCCTTTCTCGGATGAAGCTTAAATCTTGACACCCAATTATCTTCTTTGGGTAAAATAGTAAATTGCTTCTCAAAAGTCAAAGTAGTAATAGTTTTCCCCGAGAGAATAGGAAGAAGCTTGGCAGTATAATATTGCATAACATATATGTTATGTACTTGAACAATGGTATCAATAAGTTCTAGCCTAAAGTAATTTTGCATAGTTGGCATGTTCTGATTCCTTTCAAAATCAAGTCCTCTACCTTTCGATTTCAAATTCCTCGATACTAAAATAGGTGGGCCACTTAGAAAGTGGCAAATCTAGAATGCAAATGTGATCCATGATAATGCTTCTTCCGTTACCAACCATCCATCGATTTATCTTGTTAAGACTTACAATATATGATGTAGCTGGGGGATGTAATAGTGTCAGTTGATCTCAAAGGTCGTAGTTAAAAGTTTTAATAATAGTTGGCTTCATAGAACATAGTTGAGGGATGAAATAATATTTGTTAACCATAAATTTTGTAGTTGAAAGCTCTAGTAATAGTTAGACATATAAGTCGTAGTTGGCAGTTGTAATATTGTTAGTTGGCCACCAAGGCTGTAGTTAAAAGATTTAGTAATATTTGTCCATATATTTTATAATTATGGGCTGCAATAATATTAGTTGACCATATAAGTCATAGTTAAAAGTTGTAGTAATAGTTAGCCATATAAGCTATAGTAGGGTGCTGCAATAGTGTTAGTTTACTACTAAGGTCATAGTTGAAAGCTTTAGTAATAGTTGGGCATGTAGGCTGTAATTTGAGGTTGCAATATCGTTAGTTGGCTATAAATGTCATAATTAAAAGTTGTAGTAGTAGTTGACCACATAGACCATTATCGATGACTGTACCCCTTATCTCAAAACAAGGTTAAAGTCTTACATTCAACTCTTCATTTATCAATATAAAATGTAAAGAAAGATACAAGTGTTAATTGTAATTCCTATATTCTAGCTATGAGGAACGTAAGAAGTGGTTGCTGATGGATGGTTGTTGACAGTGGTTAATGATGACCAACGAGTGTAAATGTCGAAAGTTATCATCGACTCTTTAACACAACGTTATACGTTATGACCGTATTTGGGATATGACGTTAAGACGCAAGGATTCTCAATGGCAGTGAGTAGGTGTGGTCCACGAGAGGTGGTTGTTGGTGGTCAGCAAATACAAAAGCAAAAAATTTTCATTGAGTCTTAAATATGACATTATATATTAAAATAATATTTGAAATACAAAATTAGATATTATGGGTCACTGACACGCCTAAAAAATTACTTACTTTTTCATATATAATTTATGCTCAATTTTAATGATATTTAAAGATATTACACTTTAAAGGAATGTATTTTGCATATTTTATATTTCAGAAATAAGAAATGGAGTTTCGAAGAAAAAAAAGAAATTTTACAGAAAATGATGCAAAAATGGTGCAATTTAGAGTAAAAATGAGCAAGAAAAAAATGTTGACTTGACACATTTTGATATCTTGCTGTGCTTAATCTACTTTACATTTCTTACATATTTTTGAATAAAATTACATTTTAAAGAAGGTTGTTTTCATGATTATTTTATAGGTATATCTGTTAGGAGCAAAATACAACTGAAACGGGGTGAAACAAAGCAAAACATTGGAGTTGCTGCAGGGTGCGCCTGAAGCTCCAAAACTAAGGCGCCAAAATCCAGAAAAATGGCGCCTAAAGAGCCAGAACTGGCGACTGAAGCGCCATAGATGATATAAGACATATTAAGGCGGTTCAGAACGAATTTTGAGCGGATTTTGAAGTCCATTAATGATTCAAACGCCCCATGGAGTGATTAAATGCTTCGAGATACTTTGAAAGACTCTTTAATGAAGGGATACGTCTCTTGAATGAATAAACATGTCTTTTGGGATTCAAAAAGTGTGACTTTTGGAGAGAATTTCACAGGGAATTTTGAATTCTTTTTGAAAGGAGGGAGCCCCTAATTAAAAAGGAGAGAAGTCTAGGACATGAGTGTAGTGGAGAGTGAGAGGAAGGCTTTGGAGAAGAGAGGATTTTCTTCTAGGGTTGTAAGAGGAGAAAGAAAGTGATAGATTTTTTCTTCATTACATTTCTAGGAGAGAATTGAGTGTGATTGTAAAGAGAGAAAGTGCTTAAAGAGAACTTCTAGGGATTTACTTGGGAAGAAGTGTGAGATAAGTTGTGTTCTTTTCTTTCTTTATTTTGTAAATTTGTTTTTATATATGAAATTCATGTTTTGTCGTATCCTTCTCATGAATTCTGAGTAGTCTTCTTTATCATTTTCCCTATAATGAGATTTGGTTTTGTAAGGAATTAATTTTATTATTGTAGGTTTTTAATGTCAATAAATTGTGATGATTCAAACTCTGATCTTCATTTACTTTTCGATCTGACCAATTGAAATGGTAAAATGTGTTGAGAAATATATGATTTGAAAGAACTATGGTTTCTACAACATGGTGAGAGTCACATTCAATTCCATGGGTGAGGGTGTTATCCATGGGTTGAGTGCAACTAAATAGGGAAATATACTTTGTTGGATACAAAATTTGAGATTTTAAGGTGACAGATTAAAATCCTCAATTTGGTCTAGTTGATTGGAAATTAATGCGAGATTTGTAGTCATCAGGTGAGGGAGAAGTGGGAGCTATGGAGTGTGAGTCGGTATCCTCCCAACCTAACCACAGAATTATAGACCAAACTCTAGATTAGTCAATATTCTTTATGCACTTGAAAGATAGTAAATAATATGATTGCTCCTATTTGGCACAATACAATTTTTATATATTTTTAAATAATTTTAATTTCTTCACAATCCTATACTCATTGTAAAGGGGAATGATGCTTTCTTAAATTGAAACTCTTCATCACAAAAAACTTTGTTTAGTCTTAATAAGTTTAACTTTGAAAGTTTATCAATTAGATTACTTAACTTAGTTCCTAAACTTAGTTCTTTTAGTTCATTTCTGTTAGTATTCATTAAATCCATTTTAACTTGTCTTTCTTACTTTACTTTTTATAGTTTGAATATTGTGATTTATGTTATTATCATAAGAATTTTCATCTTCCAAACTAAGACTTTATAGAAGTATACTAGAGTTAGCCTAAGAGATTTCTTATTGCGCTCCTCTGTGGGATGTACTGGGTTTTTTAAAGAAAGCTCTGTATTACTTGAAGCGATGCGTGCACTTGCGTAGTAACATTAGTGTCTGAACTATTTTATATATTTTATAACATTTTGATTTTGCACATTAACTACTTAATATAAATTGGGTCAAGTTTTTTGTCATATTTTTGAAACCTAAATTACTGTGTAATTTCGGGACGGGTCAAGTTTTTGGCACTGTTACCGAAGATTTAAAATGACATAAAAGAAAAACAACACACACTAGTGGTGCGTCAGTCATCGACAACGGCGAGAAGGGGTGACCGACTGACAACCGATGGACAATGGTTGATGGTGGTTGACATCTACAGAGACTAAAAATTGTCGAGTCTTCAGTCGAGAACAGACTTTGAAATACTCCTTCTTCCTCCTCCTAACCTTAAGTGGAGAGAGGGGTCAGGGATAGAGTCATTTTGGTTTTTTAGCGAATAAATTAACAAATCATATAACCGAATGACTCATATTGACCCTCTTGATTTCAGTAACTCAATGACATCAAAAATGAGTGATCACGGGCTCATGGAATTCTTCTTATCAATACGATCGATTTTGTCCATAAATATGTTAACTTTTGAGTTCATTTTACGATTCAACTAACAATCCAAACATTAAAAAAAAATGCTTTTAAGGGCTCGTTATGGACTCAATTGGATTTAGATCAAATCAATTTTTGTATCATCAAATTTATCTTGTTAATTTTGACTAAAAGCTTGCCGGATACCGGGCTCCAAATGATGTTAATTTTGAATTTCGAATAATTATTTTAAAAATATACATCTAAATTTATGCTCGATGATGAAAATCTCCTGCCGACGCATCAAATCTATTAAAGCACTATAAACCGCTATAAACCGCATCCAGATGGAGTTAATATATATATATATTTTTAATTACAAAATTAATTTGATGCATTGGAATTTGCAAAATTAATTTAATGTGTACTTTTGACCTTCATCAAAAGCATAGCTTAATGAATTAAACTCACATTGTGGAAATGCTCTAATATAAATAATATTATTAAATATTTTTATAAGAGAAATACTTGATTAGGCCTCCTAAATATAAATAAATTTCAAATTAGTTTCTAATATTAGAAAATTTTAGGTGTTAAATTTTATTTTTCAAGTTCTTATTTTTAAGGGGTATTTACATGCATGCCACATAATTTTGTGTATTTACATAGCTAACATTTAAATTCATATTTATATTTATATCACTCAAAATTTAAAAATCACATCCAAATAGCAGGAGGAGGGCAGCTGGTGGGCGATGACGAATATTACTTTACATTAAACTGTGTGTTTTAAATTCAGTCAAATCGGTTGAATTCCAAATTTAAGAAAAGTGAATTAAAAGTTGAATTTTAAATAAAATGTAATTTTATATTGATCTGCAGCTATTTCCGAACAAATAAGATTGAAGTTCTAAAATTTCGCCATTCGCAACGCAAGTTAGAAGTGTAAATATCAAACTTTTGGAGCTAAAAAAAAAAAACTTTAGTTGGTAGAAATGTAAATACATAAAAATTATGTGACATGCATGTAAATTTTTTTAATATTTTACTTGGTAAATATGACAAATTCTAATCTCAAAACATCTTAAAATAAAAACTTCCATAAGCTCATATAAATAATAATTTATACGTAAGCCGTCGTTTCCTAGGTCAATTGTTCTAAACTTCTGGCAGGCGGCGGCCGGCATGGAATTTGGCCGGAAGTGCGGTCCGTCATGCTCGTCGTTTTGTGCCATTCCTTTGACGGAGTAACTGAAATTTGAGTGTAAGGCGACTCCAAATGCTTATCTGTGCTCATTTTTGCTTTCCATTTCCTTTTTGTTTATGTTTTTGGAAACATCAATTTTGCATCTGATATTATGCACGTTAATTTCTTACCATACAATTGATTTGGAGCAGGGAATAACCAAGCTTATGATGGCAGTTAGGGTTTCCAGTAGTGAACATGGACAAACCTTGGAGAAGTTAATTCAAATGACCAAATTACGTCAGTAAAGTGTGAAATTCGCCTTTTTTTGGTAGAGTGAATATGACAAGTGCTTATAAAATTAATATAGATGATCTATTCAATGTGTGCATATTTACTTTGTCACTTTTCATCTTTGTTTGGTATTGATCGTAGGGGCTAAAATAACTTATATTTTTTGAGAAAATTTTATTATTAGAAAATGTTTTTTAGTGTAAGGGAAATTACCAAGAGTTGCTAGAGAAATAAAAAGGCAATGAGATACAAATAACATAATAGACAAGTATGTTAAATACATGGGAGCATGGAAACAACAAAATGATAGATTTTGGACTGTCTTGTTGACGTTTGGTGAATATAGGAGAGTGATGATATATTTATTTATTTTCTATTTGTTGCCTCCTCTAGCAAATAAGATTTGATACCTCATATCCTTTGAAGAGTCAAAACTTGGAGTGATTACATCTGAATCATGAGATTGTTGAGCATTATCTTCATTATTAGCTTATGAATGAGAGAGAGTTGAGATGTTGCAAAAATAAGTTGATCAAGATCTGTGGAAATTCTTGTAGGTGTAATAGTGACCATTGTTGTAGATTTAGCATGTGTGGGCACAAGAGCCTTTAAGTTTGAAAAAATATTTGAAAAATCTTGAATCGGTTCGAAGTCTTTTAGGCTTTATCTAATCTAGTACAGGAGTTGCCTCCGAATTGGTAGATGGTTAGATTTGATCATTTTATTGTACATCTTGTGCCTGATAATTGTATTTTTTTAGATTTGGACGAGCTTTGAAGAATTTAGTGTAATTATGCCAACAAATTTTGTTGGATTTGCCCTCAGTTTTAACCCTTTGCCAATATCTACAGGTCAAGGCGTTTGTCCACACATTTTTTCTGAGGTAATATTTGGTTCAAATAGAATTTTTGCCACATAAGGCTTAAAGACGAGGCATTAGCATTATTGGCTTGCAGTGATTTGCCAAATGTAGAACTCGTGGAATACAAAGTGGATTGGTTGAAATAATAAAATTGAACTTGAGGGAATGCAATTCAAATTAGAATTATCTATGATTCCTTGCAGAATTCAAAATGGAGAAAGCATTTTAGTTCACACTTTGGAAAACCACTAATGGCAAGACTGGTGAGAGAAACATTTAGTGTAGTTTACTTCAGAAGATTATCTAATGATGACATGGCTAAAAACAAAGGGCCCAATAAAATGGTCACCAACCAAATATAAATCAAACATAAATGTTTAGATAACCTTCCGGGTAGGGCAGCCCTTTGAGAAATTCTTACAACAACAACACCAAACAACACCAACAACAACAGCAACAAAGTCCTTATCCCGCTAAATGGGGTTGGCTACATGAATCCTTTTTCTTCAATGTGGTCTGTTGAGAATTTTCTAATTATTAAAAAAAAAATAAAGAGGCCTAGCAATCTTTAAGACCTCTTCTATGAAGATGAGAACAAATTTGTCTTCATATATGGATGAATGTTTATTGAGATATTATATTGGATAGCCATGCATAGCTTTACAGCTCAAGAAGCTGTGTGGTTGAGGAGATTTATAAATGAATCAAATGTTGTTGCATGAGTTCAAGAACATGTAACAATGCAATGTGATAGTATGGTTGTTTTGACATATGCCAAAGATCTCTAGTAGTATGAATGAATTAAATGTGCAAAAAAGGTGTCATTTCGCAAGAGTGATGATGACAATAGAACTACAACAACAACATCAACAAGTCTTTATCCCACTAGGTGTGGTCAACTACAACAACAATAACAATCCTTGATATATGGATGAATGTTTATTAAGAGGTTATATTGGATGGCTATGCATAGCTCTACAACTCAAGAAGCTACTTGGTTGAGAAGATTTATAAATGAGTCAAGTGTCGTTGCATGAGTGAAAGATTATGTAGCAATGCAATGTGATAATATGGCTGTTTTAACATATGCCAAAGATCTGTAGTACCATTATTGAACTAAACATACAAAAAGGGTGTCATATGACCAAGATCTCTAGTACCATGAATGAACTAAACATGCAAAAAAGGTGTCATTTTGTGAGGGATATGATGGCAATAGAAGTAAAACGACAACAAAAAATCTTTATCCCATTAAGTGTGGTTGGCTACACAAATCCTTTTTCTCAATTGCGTCCTATTGGGTGTCCTATTTTAATTTAATTCTAATAAATTAAAATCATTTATTATATAACATGCCCAAGTATTTTTAGGTCTACCTCTACCTTTCTTAGCATAAGTTAAATCTAAAATATCTGTTCCCCTAACGGGGTCATCAAATGGTCGACGTTTAATATGACCAATTCATCTAAGGCAATTCTCTCTAATCTTGTCTGCCACTGAAGTTAGTGTAAAACCTTTCATCCAACCAAGCATTCTCATCTCAACAAAATTTAAATTAATTCTATACTTTTCTTTTAAAGGTCATTATTCTACGCCATAATGCACTGCAGGTCTCACCATCATATAGAATTTTCCTTTAAGTCTAAGAATGTAAAGTTTTTTATTTCATGTAAATTTTCTAGTCGTACCACTTGATCATGTAAGGTTTCTAGTCCTACTATGAATGTAAAACATCTTAATCTTGCGTTTGTTTGAACCACTTTGTTGATTAAAGTTGTATTTATGATATATTGACCTATAAAAGAAAAATGAAAAAAAAAATTGCACCCAATGCTATTGGAGGTAATTAGATCTATCCTACATTGGCGATGATGATGACTTGACATTAATGCAATAATAAGTCAATTTTAGATGATCATGGAAGCTATTAGAGGCAATGGAAGCCATCCCTAATTTTATGTGTGAGATGGTATGACTTGAAGATAAAAATGGAAAAAAATAGCTATCATTCATCCTCTAATGGCAGAGATGACTCGTGTTAGAATGTGCATCATAATTGTTTGAAATAAAGTGAATAATCCCTAAATGTTGTGGTCAAGCACTCAACTTACCAGAAAAAAAAGGGAAAAAAAAGAGATGACCCTTGACGAGGCTCCTTGCCTATGAAATATGGGGTACTAAGAAAATCAGACGAGTAATAAAGGGGAACAAATGATCATTGGATTGGGTAATGCTTGCATTTAGAAGTTTATAATTGACATTCTAATGATTTGTTTAATCATGTGGTCTCATTTCACCATTTTTGCCCAATACACGTCTTCATTTTTTATGAAAGAATATTTATGTATAAAACCAAAGTCAAATGAATTTGCTCTCTCGTTATCCATCCATTTAGTTTGTTCATTTTCTCTGCTTATTTTAACCACCCATTTACCATATAGTTTTTCTTCTTTCTAAAGAGAATGTCAGAATTAACTTTTGACTCTTGCTATTAATCATTCAACAAGTTCTGTTGATCTAGATGGATGCCTTTGACTCTTCAGTCTTCATTCCTAACTCTAGCCATCTAATATAGCCCCCATGTATAAGGGGAAGGTTTGCCTTTGTTAATGCTCATCACAATTATATATAATATTCAGTAATTTTTTTATGGATAATTACTCCTTTTGTTATAATTTTTAAATTAAAATTTAATAATTAATATCTTATTCTTAATATGCAGTATAAAAGTAAGAATCAATATATAATGATGAATCAAAGCTCTAGCATATTCCAAAGCCTCCTCTTCTACTCTAGGCTAAATCTCTCATTTGAAAAGTTAACTACATACTATCATCATCTTTGATCACGTAGCCAAGAGTACAATATCTTAATCTGGAATCTTTAGCTGTACTTTTAAATTCAGTGTTTGCTTTAGCCTGTATTTGTGGTTATGCGCATGTTATTAGCTATTATTCAAAAAGAATTTTTGTAGTATTGTAAAAGGAGTATTTAATTAATGTGATAAATCAAAATTTTTTTTTTTCTGGGAATCCTATTTAAGATAAAAATTAAAAATAAATGATCTTTAATAGAGATATTTTAGGATGATATACGAAGGGATTGTTTGGGATCCCTTTTATTTTTAATTTTTTAATTTTTATTTAAAAAAAAATGTTTATAAAAAAGTAAATATATTTTATTTTAAGTAAAAATATAAATTAAATAAAAAATAAAGAAATAAATATCATAATATCCTTCAAAAGTAGCTTACTATTATCTACTAACGCTTGACGTATTCCTAATGGGCCAACTTGTACATATCAAATTTGTTGCTGTATTGCTCCATTTATTGTCTTTTAGAATCCAAAACACCCCTTAGTTTAAAGAAATAAGTTATTACCAATAAAGTAGGGATTATTACATCACCAAATCTCCAAATATAACGTTTAGATTCAATTTTTTCATTAGGACATTAAAGTACATATTCCCCTACTTCTATATATTTACATGTTTAATATATTTCATATTACATGAAAATAGTGGTATCTGTATCTTTTAAAAGGTGAAGTACCCTCTTTTCATGAAGCGGAATTTATGTAAAAATAGATGTTTAGATGTTAGGTATGCAGATACATATTTGATCAATTTTGGTGTCATCGAGTCCGTCTCCTTGCGCCTATTAGTTTGACTATATGTTTTTTCTGAAACTAGAGTTATTGATAATCCTTAATTTAAGTTAGAGTTCACAAAAAATGCCTTGAAATTCGTGCCAAATGATAATATTTGTTGATGACTTATCAAGTAGTAATATTAAAAATCTTTTGTACATAAATTCTATGACACCGGATATTTTAGCAAAATAAGAAATAATAAAAAAATGCAAGTCTCTTAGAATATTGATTTGAACAAAAGGAATTCATAAAACTTAGCAATTGTAGAAGAAGGTGACCGAAAAAGATAGGTTTTTTCATGAATAAAAATCAAATTTATTAAGTTCATAAAATGAAATACTAAGAGATGAAAACTTTGAGAGATGTTCTAATGCTCCATCTGAGAAAAGGAGAACACGGGAGCCTGTTCTTATGCTCCATCTGAGAAAAGGAGAACACGGGAGCCTGAAATATCACATGTTATTCTAGTCATTTTGGTTTGGTGGTTGTGAGCCATCTTTCAGTCATGAGGTCCTAAGTTCAAGGTTTTGCATATGCACCACACGCATGCTTATTATTAAAATCACTCATATTTCTCAACAAGAAAGTTACATTTTAAATGTGATAATTAATTTCAAGCCAAACTAAAATAACCTTCCCTCCAAAATAGAGGTATTAAAAGAAATTAATTTAATTAAAATATGATGAATTTGAGAGGAGAAAGATGATGAATTTTCTAAAAAGAACAATAAAACAGATCACTCCAAGGAACTTATATTCTTTATAAACATTACAAGAATTCTAGTTATGAAAAGAGAGGGTATGAAAAGCCTCACTAGGATGGCTGAGGTTGATTTTATGTCTATATATCTACATGTGTGTTATGTCTGATGGACATCAAGAAGATGGTTGAGGCTGACTTTATGTCCATATATCTACATGTGTTATGTGTGCGAAGCCTTACCAACATAAGAGATGAATTTGGCCTTCCATTAATTCTATGAGAAGTTTATTAGTATTATGAATTCGGGTTTGTAAATCACTCTTTTTAATGCTTATAAATATTATAGTCAACATTTAGATTAGAAAACTTATCTAATTTTATAACGTAAACTTTGAGACAAACAAATGATCTCTCACGACTTTGCCAAGAATCAAAATATGTTCGTCGACATATATGATTTATAGAACGCTAACCTGACGAGAAACCAAATGACTAATACCAAAAAACATAATCCTCAATTATGTAATAAAGATCATCTATGATAATATAAATTTGTTAAGGAGACAAAGGGTTGCATTATAATATCCTAAAGTTAAATTTTTACATATATGCTACCTTATTTATGCATGAAAATATGTATTTCACTTCTTAAATGTTAAAAAAGTGTGATGTTTTGTATGATTAAAAGATTCAACATTTATGTACACAACACATAATTTTTATATATTTATATGTCTCACACCTAAACTTTTATATTAACATACCTAACAGTCAAATTATTAATATATATCACAATAAAAATAGCACTATTATCATTTTTTAGAACTTAAATAATTCTTTTCACGTATAAGTTTAAACTACCAAAATGTTTTATATGTTGATATGAAAGTTTTGGTAAGAGATATGTAAATACAGGAAAATATTACATCATGACTCTTAACGTAGAGCTACGTTCGAAGTCTATTGATATGCGGACACGTGGATGTGACAAAAATCTAAAAAAAAATCATTTTAGCGTAGGGGAATATTTCTCCTGTGTTATTCTGCATTATTCAGGTGTTATTGTGGCGATATTCATGTGTTATTGTGACGATATTCATGTGTTATTGTGTTCTGGGAATATCCCGGTGTTATAATAATACAATAACACTTCAATATCACAACAATAATACATGAATAACACAAAATAACACAGGAGGAATATTCTCCTGTGTTACCCGGCCGGATCACAGGAAAGCGTGCGCGTTTCCTTGAAGCCACATGTTTGCATATCAATGAACTCCGAACGTAGCTCTACGTTAGGAGTCTTGATGTAATATTTTTTCCTGAATTGCTTGCTATGTATGTAAATTTCTCTAAAAAGTTTTGGCTGATGGAAAAGTAAAACATAAAGTGTAAGTGTTAGATATGTAAAAGTCATAGGAATTGTGTGGTGTGTAGGTAAATGCCCCAAAAAAATCACTATTAACATCATAATAATATTGTAATTGCTTTAAAAGGTGATTATATATGTTTTTGTAAAATCAATTTAGGATGGACGAATTGAAATTGCCTCATTAATAATATTAATAAATTTAATTGTATTAATCAAAATCCTTGCAATAATATTTCAATATGATGATTGAACCATGTGAAGCTTCCCAATGGAGACAAAATTATGTAAAATATGTTAGAATTATTTTGCATCTCTTTTTAGGGGGCATTTACATACATACCACACAATTCTCATGTGTTTACATATCAACACATCTAAACTTTCATATTTACCTGTGTAACAGTTTAATCTTTAATATCACATTAAAAAATATTATTAGTATTTATGGATTCATCATGAATCCATAAATACAATGAGCCGAAATTTACATGACACCAAAATGTTATAAATGTTACCATCAAATTTTAGGTGTTAGGTATGTAAATACAATGGAATTGTGTGGTATATAAGGAAATTTCCCTTTTTTAGAACATAAGAAATCCATCCAAACTACGCCGAAATTTACACGGAAAAAACAAGCGACGTACTTGTTAATAGAAAGCTGCGTTTATATTCATTTTGAAACAGACGCTGTGTTTTAACTGCTTTACTAACAACAGAAAATGAGCCGTAAATGCATGTCACTCGGCACCACCTTTTGACTTTGACAACAGCCAAATGGTCAGCCATCCACATTGACATTTTACACGAAATTTACATTATTTCATTAAATTATAGTTTATAGTCAGCACCTACACAATTCATTCGATTATAATTTATGATTTTTCTTATTTATTATGTAATATTTGTTAATATCTTACACACATGATACATTAGTGTAGCATTTAAGGTATATTTGTCATCTGTAAATTGACACTGAAGTTAAGGTCTGAACTCAAATAAAATTTCTCAAATTTTCTCTTCTTTTTTCCCAATCTACTTTATGGAATTTCCTTAGAAATTGTTGTACAATTTTCAGTAAATTCTCTAAATGCACACTATAAAAATGCAATTAAGGCCTTTGCATTCATTGAACTCTTCAAGTTGTGTTAGTGTTGGGTTATTATTTGGGATCAATGGCTTCGTCAAAGAGTGCTCTTCACTTGATGGCTATAGTAGTCTTCATTCTCTATCTTCTCATGGCAGGAGGCGGAGAGGTGCGGCCGGTTGCGGCGGCGAGGAGGTTGCGAGAGAATGCAATTAAAGACTTCTCATATATGATGAATTTCACATCAGTTTTCGAGTCGAAAATGAAGACAAACTCACCGATAAAGTCGGAGCCATCAAATTGTCACCATGGGGTAGGTGGGGGCCACGGGCAATGTCCCCCGCAGAAGAAGAGTCAAATTAAGGCGTGATGAATGAGCTCGTGAGGATTTCATGTCACATTTAGTTTAGAGGTCTTTTTTAAGGGTATTGATTAGTTCATAGAGGTATGATGTGTTGTGTGGGATGCTCTGCTATTGTCAAAGCATTTTAGAGATATAATTATTGATTAATTGTTTTTTAAGATAAGATTTGTGCAATTATTTGTATTGCATTTAGTTTTGTTGTAATTTAATTTTTTGCTAGTGTGACTTGGGGGTTCTCTTTGGGAGTAGTTTTGAGAGTGAGTAGATGACATGTAGTTTTGAAATATTATTAAAAATAATTTTTTCTAAGAGCCACAATTGATAAATAATTATCATAAATATGTTATTATTTGCATAATACATCTTTGGATTAAAATTAAATATGTAGAAAAATATTAAATTATTATATACATACATACATACATACATAGATACTGCATATTAAAAAAAGAAAATTTACATGAACACTTGCATATCTAGCACTTAAATTTAATATTTCGATTTTTTAATATTTTGGTGTCATAAATTTATATATGAAAAGATATTTTTTATGTATATTTCAATTTTTAAAAGGTATATTTAACTTATATTTCACTTTTAATGAGGAAATATTAAATATTTTAGTGTTATGTATGCATGTATGAAAAGTTAGGCATTAGATATATGATTATATATATGAATTGTGTGTTATGCGCATGAATGCCCAAATTAAAAATATTAGTGATGTTAATTGCCACCACAGTCATATCATGCCTAAAATATGCGTCCAATTTACAATTTGGAAAGTTAAAATTATTTGAAATGTTATATCCTTACAAATGACAAGTTATTTCTAATGATATTTTTAATTATCAAGTGAACTTTAGCGATATATATTTTTGTAATAGCTTATTCTCTTAGGAATACTCTTGTTCGATCATGTTTGAATAAAGGTACCTTGATTAAGTTTATTATGGGAACTAATATTCATGTATTTATGTGGTAAGCATTTGCATGCCACATAATTCTTATGTATTTATATATTGATCTAACATTATATTTTGCTATTTAATTATATAAAATTTTAGGGTCTAAATTACATCAATCATAATCACTATATAAGCAAAATGTATCAACGAACAAGTAAACAAATTAGCAACCATTTAGACATTAAGAACCATTTGATCGTAGAAACAAGAACCATGATTCCTTTAGACAACAAAATGTCATATGAATGCAATAAAATTCTACAAGGAGAAATTAAGCACCATCCATAAACCTGAACATTGTCATTATCCATAAAGAAAGTAAAGCGAACCTCTTAATTTGGTTTAAGACATGTACAATACATTGGAATTGAGCGGTATATATGTAAATGACCCATAACATATATTTTCCTATATGACCTTCAATTTCACCAATTCATTGAACATGGTCCGATACAAATGTACATAGCAAATCATATATTTTGGCAACCCCAATACCTCATCTATACAGAACTTTACGTAGATATATACACAAATCAATGTTTTTACATCAACAACAGGATGAAGCTTTACATCAATCTATGCAATACTATGACATGTAACTAAAAATAAGAGAACGAACAGATCTTCACAATTGAATGGAACAGGAAACAGCCGTCTTGAAATCTATTATTGGTTGGCAGAAAGGAGGATTTGTGGTGAAGAACCTCCACTTCTTTCTCAGTGGATCATAAGCTTGGATCTCTAGGGTTAGTCTATTCTTGAAGGCTCTACCGGGTTTGGAAGGGTCAATGAATGGAATTGATTTAGTTAGCACGCATAGCTCTCCATTCATGGCGACAAAGCCGCACGAATCTTCTGATGGAACTTTTCTCCTTAGAATCGACTCTTTAAACCATCGATTCAATGTGAAATTATACCTGCATTAGAGCATTTAAATGATTGCTTAGGTAAGGTGTATTTTGAAGTCTGCAACAAGTGTACGATAGGAATGTAAATAAAAAATAGGGGTTAGCTCATTTCAGTCGGATGGATTTAGATTGATACGAATCGCAGTTGCCGCAAATCATAAGAAAAGAAAATTGGGAATTCTACATAACTATGCAGAATATGTATTTAACTTAGCTCACACCTAAACTTTCATATTTACATACATAGTACTTCGATGATTTAAACTTATGCATGAACAAGAGTATTTATTTTTAAAAAAATGATAATAGTGTTTTTTTTTTGTGATATTAAAGATTTGAGTGCTATGTTTATGCAACATAAGAGTTGTGTGCAATGTATGTATATGGCTCAAAAAAAATTTTAGAAGGGATACCTTCCATAAATATTGACCTCTCTAAGGTTATAGGATTTACTTTTGAATTGCATAAAAGATAATAAATACCAATTAAAATTATATTGCATAAATACAAAAATTCAACATAATTAAAAATTTGATTTAAATAACTTCAGCCAAATTTTCCCAAATCAGGGTCATTTTTGGGGATAAAATTGGGTTAGGATATCTTAATGAGAAAAAAAAAACATTTACTTTATGAGTGCAATATACATATGGGCCACAAAACAAAGATCCTTTGAAAACAGAAAAAAAGATGGACCATAAAGCATTAACGTGACGAGGACAAAAACTTATTTCAGAGATTTTATAGCATGGGATGCCTTTGGAAGTCGAAATATTTGGAGAAATTTGGCTTTCAGACAGAAAGGTAGTCATCCGTTCTTGAAAGAGGATATATTGAAATCAATGCAATGCCCGCAGGGGATTATGGCTTCATCTCATTCTAGGCAAATTTAAAGGAAAAGAAAAAGCTGCGAAAATGGTTCCTGACTTTCTGCAGAGGATCATTTTAGTCACATAGTTTATAAAAGTGTCAATTAATTCCACAGATTTATTATTATTATTATTATGGGATGAAACAAGATCCAAACTCTTTAAAATGTGGACTATTCAAACTATGTTTAAAAATTCCGGAGACAAATTTGACATTTTTATAGACACTGAAATTAAAATGGTCTCATGTTAACTAATCATAGGACCATTTTGGCACTTTGAAGAAACATAAAACTGTAGATTTAAAGCTGGCACATCACTATACTATATAATGTCAATTAAACTCCACAGAGAAAATTCATGCTTCTACAATTTCTGGGCAATAGAGGTAGGATAAAAAGATACTTGCAGACCTCAACCACCAGAGTTCATGTAAGACACTTAAAGAGCTTAAAATTTAATACACGTTTAATATGCAATGTGGATTTTGATGGAACAAAATATAATGAAGTTGCAAAGAGCTATTTTAAACAACTCTTTAATATCTTCAATTAAAATATAATTGTGTAATTTTTCTTTTAACACTTAACCTGAATCTTGTTTCACTTGAGAATTAAAAAGATCTCAATAAGATTTAAGATCAAGATTTACTTTATTTTCTTATTATGGGATTTCATTATTCATGATGATGAAATAAGTTCAATTCGTTATCAATTTATGACAATTTTATAAACATTTTTTTAAAGTTTCAGGCTTAGGATTGATTTTTCAAGAGGCTTACACCTCATCTCACCTCAATAAGCAGAAATGGAACCGGTGCTGCTAGCGTGGATGTAGATGTTCCATTTGCAAAAGATATATGTTGAAAACTTTAAAGGCTCAAAAGTGCCTCTATATGGTATTAGATCCTCAATATTAAAATTCAAATTAATGTTCATATCGACAAGCAAATCAATAGTATGTGTTGGTTTAAGCCTAGCAAGTATTTTGTAGGAGCCAAAGGTTCAAGCATTAATTCATTGTGTTATGTGAGAAGTTTAAACACAACAATGTAAGCCACATTGGCCTAGTGGTTGAGAGCTTTATTTTTCTACTAAAAGGTCTTAAGTTCAAAGCCTTACTTATGTGGTGTGTGTGCACTTGCAATTAGATTCGCTCAAATTCTTTAAAAAAAACAGTTGAACACAACCTAACTCATACTCACCTTTCTAATATTTGCAAGATCCACTATAAGCATCTAATAGAGTTTTAAAATGAAGATCATTTTTTAATATTAAAATATAATTTATGTATTCACTTAATAATTGCTGCAACAAAATCAAAATATACATGAAAAAACCAAACATATAAGATTTATAAGCTTCCAAAGTTGTGAGTGATGGGCCATATCAAGGGGTGATTCTGAAATGGAATGCTAAAAAAGATGCTATAAACAAATTCAATTATAGATAATAATAAATCCCATTTTTTAAACTATCATAACAAAATGTAATAAAGTTCCTAAGCTTCCATTTCCAACTTTTGTTTTTTAGCTACATAGTGGTGAAAAAAAGAATCATACTTCGAATAGTTTAAAAAAAAAAACTTTCAAGAATAACTTACAAATCTTACATCCCTATTAAATACAATGGAAGTGAGAAGATCATGTAGACAAACCATTAATTATGGTCACGTGAAAGGCATTAACATATATAAACTAGAAAATAAATATCGTTTTAGACAACCTATTGAATAACACTGATGTAGAATCATATCCATTTTCTAGAAATTTAACAACTTCAATGGGAACAAGCTGCTATCTCAATAGGAGCTTGCCTGATTATTAAAAGCATGACTATCCCAATCTTGGCCTTCACAAACTTTTTCTGAGTTTGGATTTGCAACCTATCTTTTCCTTCATATTGAGTTTAAAGATTTGCCTTATGATTAAGCTTTTGAGCCATATCAACAAGCTTAGAGAAAATGAGTTTATTTATCTAACCCATAAGATTGCAAGCATGTGCTTTTTCATCCAAATGAACCGCATTGTGGTCATATAATAAAGGTTTAATACGTGCATATATGGCACATCCATTGGTAAAACATGCACCATATATTATCTGTATAACTTTCCAAGTGCATGGGCAGTAAACAACTTTCAATTATAAGTAACAAAGTTCTATTCACCCATTTTATATATTGAAGTGTTCCGGAAACCATTAAGAAGTAATTGTAATTCTTATCAAGACAACATTGAAAATAACACTTCTAGTACCATCATCATCAATTACAAACTTAAATCTTTTGTTTTGACAAGTAGCACGCATACAAAAATATTTATTCTCCTACAACTTGGGTTGCTAGAAGGCATTTTATTACACCAATATTTCCTTAAACATGGCCCTCATCATCATCTTTAGTGATAGAAACATTTTCTTCTACTTACTCAATGCCTTCATCACCTAAAAATGGTAAACTAGGAACCCGATCGATCAAAAACGCCGTGTGGTGCATTGATATGACATATGACTAGTTTGGCAAAGCTCAAAATAGGTGAATGTGGAAAGATACCCTTAGAGGTAACTTTGCCAAAGTACCTTTGAATTTCAAATAGCTTTCAAAATAATTGGACTTGACAAAAAAATTCATTAAATTGGCCAATATTTTGATTAACTAATTCTCAAGGGTTTCTAGCAACTATTAAAAATTCATGCTAAGATGATCCAAGTTTCCGATCATGTAGCTCAATTGCTCAAGAGATAGCACCAAAGTCATATTTACCCTTACAACAAACAAGTGTCAAGGTGATCAACATAATGAATATATTATGACAGCAATTAAAGCAAATATGCGATTAATGCAACTCATTAAAAGCCTACAAAGTAATCATGAAAATATAAATTGATTCGATTTTAATGAAGTATTTTAGTTAAATGTGATATATGAAATTTCGAACTGAGTTGGTTGAATAGTGGCAGCTAGGAGGTGAAGCTAATTCCTATGTCCAAACGCACAAACAATCAACACTTTGTGGAACCCTACTTCACATGAGCTAAATATCAAGGCGGTAAGTGGGCATTTAGCCTCATTTTTAGTGGGACTTCTTAGGCATGGCGAACTTGTAAATCTAAACGCACAAATAATCAATACTTCATGGAACTCTACTTCACATAAGTTAAATATCAAGGCAGTAATTGGACATTTAAAGGGTCATTTTTAGTGGGGCTTCTTAGGTAAGGACCATGCAAAACAATAATAAACTTACAAGAAAATAATGAATATAAATCTGACTAATAATTGTGAAGTTTATAGCTATGGAGAAACAAGGGGGTTCCTCAAATATGTATATTCTCAACCAGTGAAGCTCTTTGATCCTTGAAAATTAGTTTCCATGTCTACCGCCCTTTAAAAAGTAGTGACAGTTCTTATTGTGGATGGCTAAAATTTTCTGCCCCGATTTAGACTTCAACTTGCAGAGAAAATGAAGTTGTTGTGAAATAGACCGCAAAAATGTCCTCGAAGGTTTAAAAGAAGCTCAACGCAATTGTGTGAGGTTATCCGAAGAGCAAACAAGAAGAATCCCTAAGTTATTTAAGCTAAGATTGTCAGAATTCTCCAACGGAGAGAAGGTGCTACAAAAAAAATCCGCAAAAAATGTTACGAATTAGTCGCAACCTAAACTAGTAATCATGTTCATTTGAGCATGTAAAGGATGTTGGGTGATCAAAGGAAATAGGAGGTGAGTAAAAGCATGGCTCAAATCATGCGGTGCAATAGTGGGACAAAAGCATAATGGAAAATACTACAAGTCACTACAAAACAGCATAGGTGATAGGGGCTTTTGTGGATCGAGGAATAGAGAAGGGTTGTGAGAATATTAGTGAGATGTCAAAAAGCACAAATATGTAATAGGGTTCTTGCAATGAAAGGAACAAAGTGATTGCCATATGCAGGAGGTCGCAAAGAACATGGTAATAACAACAGGCAAGCACCAAGCATTAAAGAAATGCGAAGTGAGTGGCAACAACATAAGGGATTTTTGAGAGAGATGTTCGCAGATTGATAAATGGTGATTGGTTGCATGGATGCTAGCAATGGAATACAATAGGAACATGATTGTAGGGAGTGCACTGCAAAAAGAGAAGCCAATTTTGCAAGCGC